TGAACTAGAACTGAACTAGAACTGAACTAGAACTGAACTAGAACTAAACTAGAACTGAACTAGAACTGAACTAGAACTGAACTAGAACTGAACTAGAACTGAACTAGAACTGAACTAGAACTGAACTAGAACTGAACTAGAACTGAACTAGAACTGAACTAGAACTGAACTAGAACTGAACTAGAACTGAACTAGAACTGAACTAGAACTGAACTAGAACTGAACTAGAACTGAACTAGAACTGAACTAGAACTGAACTAGAACTGAACTAGAACTGAACTAGAACTGAACTAGAACTGAACTAGAACTGAACTAGAACTGAACTAGAACTGAACTAGAACTGAACTAGAACTGAACTAGAACTGAACTAGAACTGAACTAGAACTGAACTAGAACTGAACTAGAACTGAACTAGAACTGAACTAGAACTGAACTAGAACTGAACTAGAACTGAACTAGAACTGAACTAGAACTGAACTAGAACTGAACTAGAACTGAACTAGAACTGAACTAGAACTGAACTAGAACTGAACTAGAACTGAACTAGAACTGAACTAGAACTGAACTAGAACTGAACTAGAACTGAACTAGAACTGAACTAGAACTGAACTAGACGAACTAGAACTGAACTAGAACTGAACTAGAACTGAACTAGAACTGAACTAGAACTGAACTAGAACTGAACTAGAACTGAACTAGAACTGAACTAGAACTGAACTAGAACTGAACTAGAACTGAACTAGAACTGAACTAGAACTGAACTAGAACTGAACTAGAACTGAACTAGAACTGAACTAGAACTGAACTAGAACTGAACTAGAACTGAACTAGAACTGAACTAGAACTGAACTAGAACTGAACTAGAACTGAACTAGAACTGAACTAGAACTGAACTAGAACTGAACTAGAACTGAACTAGAACTGAACTAGAACTGAACTAGAACTGAACTAGAACTGAACTAGAACTGAACTAGAACTGAACTAGAACTGAACTAGAACTGAACTAGAACTGAACTAGAACTGAACTAGAACTGAACTAGAACTGAACTAGAACTGAACTAGAACTGAACTAGAACTGAACTAGAACTGAACTAGAACTGAACTAGAACTGAACTAGAACTGAACTAGAACTGAACTAGAACTGAACTAGAATGAACTAGAACTGAACTAGAACTGAACTAGAACTGAACTAGAACTGACTAGAACTGAACTAGAAACTGAACTAGAACTGAACTAGAACTGAACTAGAACTGAACTAGAACTGAACTAGAACTGAACTAGAACTGAAACTAGAACTGAACTAGAACTGAACTAGAACTGAACTAGAACTGAACTAGAACTGAAACAGAACTGAACTAGAACTGAACTAGAACTGAACTAGAACTGAACTAGAACTGAACTAGAACTGACCTAGAACTGAACTAGAACTGAACTAGAACTGAAATCAGAACTGAACTAGAACTGAACTAGAACTGAACTAGAACTGAACTAGAACTGAACTAGAACTGAACTAGAACTGAACTAGAACTGAACTAGAACTGACTAGAACTGAACTAGGAACTGAAACTAGAACTGAATCTAGAACTGAACTAGAACTGAACTGAGAACTGAACTAGAACTGACTAGAACTGAACTAGAACTGAACTAGAACTGAACTAGAACTGAAACTAGAACTGAACTAAACTGAACTAGAACTGAACTAGAAATGAACTAGACTGAACTAGAACTGAACTAGAACTGAACTAGACTGAACTAGAACTGAACTAGAACTGGAACTAGAACTGACTAGACTGAACTAGAACTGAACTAGAACTGAACTAGAACTGAACTAGAACTGAACTAGAACTGAACTAGAACTGGACTAGAACTGAACTAAATTTCACGTAAAAGAAAATATTTATGTATATTTTGAAATTGTAACTGTCGCTAACAAATCCAAACTGCAATTGCTTAATACTGTCTTAAAAATAAATAAAAATAAATAATTCAATATTTTACTGAATTGACAAATCTAAAACAAAATTTGCATTTTAAAAACTACATTAAATCTTTACCAAAATATTATGCAAAAAAAAAATTATAAAAAAAAACTTCAACAAAATAAATTAAATGGCAGACAGAAAAACATTAAACTGTAAAAATAAATAAAAAATCCACATTGTATATAACAAATACGATTTTTCTTAAAATTTGAAATTTTCAATAGGATTTAACTGATTTTGGTAAGTGAGGAATTTAAAAGCAACTGCATATAAAAATTTATTTTAAATTTTACGTTGATTGAATTTGTTTGCAAAAATAGTGGGTTGCATAAATTATGTTGGCTGTTGGCAGTTGGCATGGTGGCTGGATTTTTGTAAAATAAAATTCAATTTTAAACAAACAAATTTCCAAATTGACAAATATGGTGGGCCATAATTCTACTAAAACAGCTGCCTTGTGTTTTTTTGTTTGTTTGTGTTTTTTTAGTTAACAATTGACAAAATACTTGTAAATATTAAATAAACATTAATTGCCTGATTTTTTTTTTTTTGTTATTTTTTATGTTTGTACAATTATTTTCTATATTTTTTTAGAGCATTTGATGCTGTGTTTTTTCTAATCATACAAAACAGTTGTTGCGTGAGTCTATGAATCACTCTACACAGTTCGTGCAAAATATAAAGAAATACATACGAAAAAATATAAGAAACTTTGTATCTATAGAAAACATTCATACACTTAATATTATTTAGACAAATGGTGTTTTTTCTATTTTAGTTCATTTTCCCCACGTCATACAAAACAAAAACAAAATTATACACGAGTTTTTCAAAAACGTTTTAATGTTATATAAAAAATATATATTAATGCGTCACATGTTACAGATTTTTTAATAACAAAATGTGTTTATTCTGTAACATTTTATCAAATATATTTTTTTAGAAAAATTGGTTTGGTGTAAATAATAATTTTATAGATATACATTAGAATATGCATGTTTTAGGCAAGACAGAATACTTTGAAATCTTACATTAGATATTTTTTAACTTTACTTCAGTTCTTGCTCAGATCTAGTTCAGTTTTAGTTCAATTCTAGTTCAGTTCTAGTTCAGTTCTAGTTCAGTTCTAGTTCAGTTCTAGTTCAGTTCTAGTTCAGTTCTAGTTCAGTTCTAGTTCAGTTCTAGTTCTAGTTCAGTTCTAGTTCAGTTCTAGTTCAGTTCTAGTTCAGTTCTAGTTCAGTTCTAGGTTAGTTCTAGTTAGTTCTAGTTCAGTTCTAGTTCAGTTCTAGTAGTTCAGTTCTAGTTCAGTTCTAGTTCAGTTCAGTTCTAGTTCAGTTCTAGTTCAGTTCTAGTTCAGTTCTAGTTCAGTTCTAGTTCAGTTCTAGTTCAGTTCTAGTTCAGTTCTAGTTCAGTTCTAGTTCAGTTCTAGTTCAGTTCTTGTTCAGTTCTAGTTCAGTTCTAGTTCTAGTTCAGTTCTAGTTCAGTTCTAGTTCAGTTCTAGTTCAGTTCTAGTTCAGTTCTAGTTCAGTTCTAGTTCAGTTCTAGTTCAGTTCTAGTTCAGTTCTAGTTCAGTTCTAGTTCTAGTTCAGTTCTAGTTCAGTTCTAGTTCAGTTCTAGTTCAGTTCTAGTTTAGTTCTAGTTCAGTTCTAGTTCAGTTCTAGTTCAGTTCTAGTTCAGTTCTAGTTCAGTTCTAGTTCAGTTCTAGTTCAGTTCTAGTTCAGTTCTAGTTCAGTTCTAGTTCAGTTCTAGTTCAGTTCTAGTTCAGTTCTAGTTCAGTTCCAGTTCAGTTCTAGTTCAGTTCCTAGTTCAGTTCTAGTTCAGTCTAGTTCAGTTCTAGTTCAGTTCTAGTTCAGTTCTATCTCAGTTCTAGCTCAGTTCTAGTTCAGTTCTAGTCAGTTCTAGTTCAGTTCTAGTTCAGTTCTAGTTCATTTAGTCAGTTTAGTTCAGTTCTAGTTCAGTTCTAGTTCAGTTCTAGTTCAGTTCTAGTTCAGTTATAGTTCAGTTCTAGTTCAGTTCTAGTTCAGTTCTAGTTCAGTTCTAGTTCAGTTCTAGTTCAGTTCTAGTCAGTTCTAGTTCAGTTCTAGTCCGTTCTAGTTCAGTTCTAGTTCAGTTCTAGTTCAGTTCTAGTTCAGTTCTAGTTCAGTTTCTAGTTCAGTTCTAGTTCAGTTCTAGTTCAGTTCTAGTTCAGTTCTAGTTCCGTTCCTAGTTCAGTTCTAGTTCAGTTCTAGTTCAGTTCTAGTTCAGTCTAGTCAGTTCTAGTTCAGTTCTAGTTCAGTTCTAGTTCAGTTCTAGTTCAGTTCTAGTTCAGTTCTAGTCAGTTCTAGTTCAGTTCTAGTTCAGTTCTAGTTCAGTTCTAGTTCAGTTCTAGTTCAGTTCTAGTTCAGTTCTAGTTCAGGTTCTAGTTCAGTTCTAGTTCAGTTCTAGTTCGTCTAGTTCAGTTCTAGTTCAGTTCTAGTTTCAGTTTCTAGTTCAGTTCTAGTTCAGTTCTAGTTCAGTTCTTAGTTCAGTTCTAGTTCAGTTCTAGTTCAGTTCTAGTTCAGTTCTAGTTCAGTTCTAGTTCAGTTCTAGTCAGTTCTTCTAGTTCAGTTCTAGTTCCGTTTAGTTCAGTTCTAGTTCAGTTCTAGTCCAGTTCTAGTTCAGTTCTAGTTCAGTTCTAGTTCAGTTCTAGTTCAGTTCTAGTTTCAGTTGTAGTTCAGTTCTAGTTCAGTTCTAGTTCAGTTCTAGTTCAGTTCTGTTCAGTTCTAGTTCAGTTCTAGTTCAGTTCTAGTTCAGTTCGTTCAGTTCTAGTTCAGTTCTTAGTTCAGTTCTAAATGAGCACATTTTCTCTTAAATTGTGAAATCGTTAAGTTTCGTACAATACATACAAAAATATTATCAGATTCGAAAAATTTCTCAGAAACATTATCGCTAGAGTTCCTACTCCCTTCGCTACTCTTATCATCATAAATATAATAAACAACATTTATAAAATCGCACTCAGTATTAAAGTTACATTAAACAGAAAATAATCCAAAAAAAATGTCCACTACTCTTATCTTACTGACCACTATTACAGTTCTTGTAAGTCTACTATTTTACCATGTCAAACGTAAACTCAATTATTGGCAAGATCAAAAAATACCTCATCAAAAACCCAGTCTAATAGTGGGCAATTTTCAAGGCCTGCGCAAGAGCCACAGTATGGCGGAAATTTTTACTCAACATTATGAGCAATTTAAAGGTACCGGACCCTTTAGTGGTTTCTATTTTATACATCGTGCAGCAGTCGTAGTATTGGATAAACAGTTGATGAAAAATATTTTAATCAAAGATTTCAATAATTTTACCAATCGGGGTTTATACAACAATGTGAAAGATGACCCTTTAACAGGGCGCCTATTTTTACTAGATGGAGCGGAATGGAAAAATATGAGAAATAAACTATCGCCTACATTTAGTTCGGGTAAAATGAAAGGCATGTATGAATTAGTATTAAAACAAGCCGATCAATTGATAGAAGTGGAACAAAATCCCGTAATGGAAATAAAAGATATTATGGCCCGCTTTACCACCGATGTTATAGGCTCTTGTGCTTTTGGTATTAACTGCAATAGTTTAAGAGATCCCCAGGCCGAGTTTCGTGTTATGGGTTTACGTTCCTTAAATGAACGCAGACATGGCCCTTTAATATCGGGCTTTATGCAGGGCTTTCCAGATTCAGCTAGGAAACTGCATTTACGTTCTATACCAGATGATATCAATGATTTCTTTATGCGTATTGTTCTTGAAATTCTAGAATATCGTGAGCAAAATAATATCTCTAGTAATGATTTTTTGGGTATTTTAACTAGTATGAAAAAAGAGACGGGAGTTAAGTTAACAATGGAACAAATGGCAGCTCAGGCTTTTGTATTCTTTTTGGGAGGTTTTGAAACATCGTCTTCAACATTGGGTTTTGCTTTATATGAATTGGCTTTGCAGCAGCAAATACAAGATAATTTAAGACAGGAAATCAAAGAGTCTTTTAAAGGAAACAATATTGAGTATGAAGCCCTGCACCAACTGAAATTTATGGGTCAAATTATTTCAGGTGAGTTAATAGAGTATATTACACAAAATTTTATTAATATTAAACGTCTATAACTTTTTTAGAAACTTTACGCAAATACCCTGTAATACCTCTCATAACTCGGCAGGCCTTAAATGATTACCCGATTCCTGACTATCCTGGTTATGTCATCAAAAAAGACATGCCCGTCTTTATACCCATTTACGCTTTTCACCATGATGCTAATTATTATCCAGAACCGGAAAAATTTAAACCCGAAAGATTTGCTTCTACGGAAGATGCTTCCAAAGATTCTCTTACCTGGCTACCATTTGGTGAGGGTCCTCGCAATTGTATTGGTTTACGTTTTGGTCTCATGCAAACTAGAGTGGCTTTGGCTTATCTTTTAAAACATTTTAAATTTTCGGTTTGTGAGAAAACTGAAGTACCTTTAGTTTTTTGATAAGACGTCGGTGCTTTTGTCTGCTAAGAATGGTATTTTTTTGAAAACTGGAGAAAATATTGTAAATTCAATTAGATATTTGCTTCCAATAGCTTTCAAGTTCAGTTCTAATTCACTACTAGTTCTAGTTAAAGTTCAGTTCTAGTTCAGTTCTAGTTCAGTTCTAGTTCAGTTCTAGTTCAGTTCTAGTTCAGTTCTAGTTCACTTCTAGTTCAGTTCTAGTTCAGTTCTAGTTCAGTTCTAGTTCAGTTCTAGTTCAGTTCTAGTTCAGTTCTAGTTCAGTTCTAGTTCAGTTCTAGTTCAGTTCTAGTTCAGTTCTAGTTCAGTTCTAGTTCAGTTCAGTTCTAGTTCAGTTCTAGTTCAGTTCTAGTTCAGTTCTAGTTCAGTCTAGTTCAGTCTAGTTCAGTTCTAGTTCGGTCTAAGTTCAGTTCTAGTTCAGTTCTAGTTCAGTTCTAGTTCAGTTTCTAGTTCAGTTCTAGTTCAGTTCTAGTTCAGTTCTAGTTCAGTTCTAGTTCAGTTCTAGTCAGTTCTAGTTCAGTTCTAGTTCAGTTCTAGTTCAGTTCTAGTTCAGTTCTAGTTCAGTTCTAGTTCAGTTCTAGTTCAGTTCTAGTTCAGTCTAGTTTCAATTCTAGTTCAGTTCTAGTTCAGTTCTAGTTCAGTTCTATTCAGTTCTAGTTCAGTTCTAGTTCAGTTAGTTCAGTTCTAGTTCAGTTCTAGTTCAGTTCTAGTTCAGTTCTAGTTTCAGTTCTAGTTCAGTTCTAGTTCAGTTCTAGTTCAGTTCTAGTTCAGTTCTAGTTCAGTTCTAGTTCAGTTCTAGTTCAGTTCTAGTTCAGTCTAGTTCGTTGTAGTTCAGTTCTAGTTCAGTTCTAGTTCAGTTCTAGTTCAGTTCTAGTTCAGTTCTAGTTCAGTTCTAGTTCAGTTCTAGTTCAGTTCTAGTTCAGTTCTAGTTCAGTTCTAGTTCAGTTCTAGTTCAGTTCTAGTTCAGTTCTAGTTCAGTTCTAGTTCAGTTTTAGTTCAGTTCTAGTTCAGTTCCAGTTCAGTTCCAGTTCAGTTCTAGTTCAGTTCTAGTTCAGTTCTAGTTCAGTTCTAGTTCAGTTCTAGTTCAGTTCTAGTTCAGTTCTAGTTCAGTTCTAGTTCAGTTCTAGTTCAGTTCTAGTTCAGTTCTAGTTCAGTTCTAGTTCAGTTCTAGTTCAGTTCTAGTTCAGTTCTAGTTCAGTTCTAGTTCAGTTCTAATTCAGTTCTAGTTCAGTTCTAGTTCAGTTCTAGTTCAGTTCTAGTTCAGTTCTAGTTCAATTCTAGTTCAGTTCTAGTTCAGTTCTAGTTCAGTTCTAGTTCAGTTCTAGTTCAGTTCTAGTTCAGTTCTAGTTCAGTTCTAGTTCAGTTCTAGTTCAGTTCTAGTTCAGTTCTAGTTCAGTTCTAGTTCAGTTCTAGTTCAGTTCTAGTTCAGTTCTAGTTCAGTTCTAGTTCAGTTCTAGTTCAGTTCTAGTTCAGTTCTAGTTCAGTTCTAGTTCAGTTCTAGTTCAGTTCTAGTTCAGTTCTAGTTCAGTTCTAGTTCAGTTCTAGTTCAGTTCTAGTTCAGTTCTAGTTCAGTTCTAGTTCAGTTCTAGTTCAGTTCTAGTTCAGTTCTAGTTCAGTTCTAGTTCAGTTCTAGTTCAGTTCTAGTTCAGTTCTAGTTCAGTTCTAGTTCAGTTCTAGTTCAGTTCTAGTTCAGTTCTAGTTCAGTTCTAGTTCAGTTCTAGTTCAGTTCTAGTTCAGTTCTAGTTCAGTTCTAGTTCAGTTCTAGTTCAATTCTAGTTCAGTTCTATTGTAGTTCTAGTTAAGTTCTAGTGAATTCATTGCTTTAAATAAAGAAAATTATGTTTGAATAAAGTGGAAAAAAAGAACGAATACGTCATTTTAATGATCTTACTAAAATGTGAAAGCAGAGAAGCTCATGAGAGAGCTCTTTACGGATACCAGATCTATATGCGGAGAGTAAAAAATAGTTTTGAGACTGATTCTTATGCAAAAGTGAGCTCCAACTTTTTTATAATTAAAACAGTTTTGCAACACTTTTCCTAACAATATTCAGTTATTTCAAAACTTTGTTCACTTTTGCATCATGTTTACATTTGACATAACATTTCAGCATTATATTCACTTTTAGTTTTAGTAGTTTTTTTTTAAGTTACTTAAACTTCTATTGAATCTAAAATTAGTTTGTTAAAGTTTTCAAAACAGCAAAAAAAAAAAAAAACTCCAACCGAAAAAAATTTCAAACAAATAAAATGTTTTTAGCATAAAAAGATTTTGCAACGACACATTTGATGTGAAATGAACGTGATCTTCACAATGTTTTTGTACACAATTTAAAAAAACAAACATACAAAATGCTAAATTTGCATAAACTGCAACAAAAAAAAAAATAAAGTATAGAAAATCCGATTTGATATAAAGTAATCAAAGAGTTTATTTTTTCGATTTTGCAAGGTTTCAAAAGCATTTGCAAGAAAAAAATTAACACAACACAATAAATGACTAAGAAAATTGAGGAAGAAGATTTGCATACAAACACAATTAATGCGACAGGCGATAAAGTGCTTAATTCTCTAGAGAGAAGATAATCGTCAAAGAACTAATTGTGTGAATAATTCTTTGAGTAAAGGGATGTGCTTATGTTGTCTATATAACTATTTATATCAAAACACCACTTTTTCACTAGTTATATAACTAGTTCTTTTCAACTAATAGTTATCAAGTTTCCTTCAAAGTTTTTAAACTTAGCTGTAAAGCTTTATATTGAAGTTAAATAAAAGGGAGAAAAACTTACCTCTTGTAACATAATTCGCTGAATCCCAGGACCAACCACCATTACGTGGCCTCTCCTGATAACTATAACTCATCGCCTTGGGAAAGTTATTATTACGATCCATGCTAAAGTAGTTATTAAGACCCGGCTTTGTGATTCGACCACCAATCAAATCCCCACCTCCTGAATCATCTCTTTGACCCGCCTTTTTACGCTTCATAGAAGCACGCTCTAAAGTTCTTTCAAAATCACTGCACACCTCATCTAAAGCATCATGAAGAAAAGCTTTAGTTTCTGGAGGACTTACGGCGGGTTTGCGCATCGGATATGGAACATCACTTTCTGCTCCTCGATAAGAGGAACAGGTAGATGAGGCCGTACCAAAGGGAGACTCAGAACGGGGATAGTTTGAGGTTTGTGAACCATAAGTAAAACGTGGCACCGATGAAGATCTCTGGCGTGAGGGCTGTTGATACTGATAGGGTGTAGATGTGAAAGAGGGTGTACGTTGTAGGGTTTGGTATGGCGAATCCAGTTCGTTTTCCTGCGGCAGCTAGAAAGAAAAATAATAATTTAATTAATTCGCTTTTTTGCCATAATTTCAATTATATTTCATTATAGTGATGAGTGAAAGCTGTGCATAATTTTGATACTTAATTTTTTAGATTTTAGTGTTTTTATGGGACCTCTTTGATGTTGCCAACACGTGTTGAAATTTGCTACAGTTTACTGTGTAGTTAATACATTTTGTCACACTTTTTAAATTGCCATCGAAATGGCGATCTGTGTGACTGTCTGTCGGCTTGTTTGTATACTTTAACGCCTGTGTGCCTGTTAGATTGAATGTGGTTTTTTTATCAGAGGTCGACATAAGGAGAAGAAGCCGCAGATGGGAATAAAACTGAAATCATATTCAGCGAATAGTCTCTAGAATAATCTCTAGTTCAGTCCATATTACAGTCTAGTTTATAGTCTACTTTATAGTCTAGTTTATACTCTAGTCTATAGTCTAGTCTATAGTCTAGTCTATAGTCTAGTCTATAGTCTAGTCTATAGTCTAGTCTATAGTCTAGTCTATAGTCTAGTCTATAGTCTAGTCTAGTCTAGTCTATAGTCTAGTCTATAGTCTAGTCTATAGTCTAGTCTATAGTCTAGTCTATAGTCTAGTCTATAGTCTAGTCTATAGTCTAGTCTATAGTCTAGCCTATAGTCTAGTCTATAGTATAGTCTATAGTCTAGTCTATAGTCTAGTCTATAGTCTAGTCTATAGTCTAGTCTATAGTCTAGTCTATAGCCTAGTCTATAGTCTAGTCTATAGTCTAGTCTATAGTCTAGTCTATAGTATAGTCTATAGTCTAGTCTAGTCTAGTCTATAGTCTAGTCTAGTCTATAGTCTAGTCTATAGTCTAGTCTAGTCTATAGTCTAGTCTAGTCTATAGTCTAGTCTATAGTCTAGTCTATAGTCTAGTCTATAGTCTAGTCTATAGTCTAGTCTATAGTCTAGTCTATAGTCTAGTCTATAGTCTAGTCTATAGTCTAGTCTATAGTCTAGTCTATAGTCTAGTCTATAGTCTAGTCTATAGTCTAGTCTATAGTCTAGTCTATAGTCTAGTCTATAGTCTCGTCTATAGTCTCGTCTATAGTCTAGTCTATAGTCTAGTCTATAGTCTAGTCTATAGTCTAGTCTATAGTCTAGTCTATAGTCTCGTCTATAGTCTAGTCTATAGTCTAGTCTATAGTCTAGTCTATAGTCTAGTCTATAGTCTAGTCTATAGTCTAGTCTATAGTCTAGTCTATAGTCTAGTCTATAGTCTAGTCTATAGTCTAGTCTATAGTCTCGTCTATAGTCTAGTCTATAGTCTAGTCTATAGTCTAGTCTATAGTCTAGTCTATAGTCTCGTCTATAGTCTAGTCTATAGTCTAGTCTATAGTCTCGTCTATAGTCTAGTCTATAGTCTAGTCTATAGTCTAGTCTATAGTCTAGTCTATACTCTAGTCTATAGTCTAGTCTATAGTCTAGTCTATGTCTAGTCTATAGTCTAGTCTATAGTCTAGTCTATAGTCTAGTCTATAGTCTAGTCTATAGTCTAGTCTATAGTCTAGTCTATAGTCTAGTCTATAGTCTAGTCTATAGTCTAGTCTATAGTCTAGTCTATAGTCTAGTCTATAGTCTAGTCTATAGTCTAGTCTATAGTCTAGTCTATAGTCTAGTCTATAGTCTAGTCTATAGTCTAGTCTATAGTCTAGTCTATAGTCTAGTCTATAGTCTAGTCTATAGTCTAGTCTATAGTCTAGTCTATAGTCTAGTCTATAGTCTAGTCTATAGTCTAGTCTATAGTCTAGTCTATAGTCTAGTCCTATAGTCTAGTCTATAGTCTAGTCTATAGTCTAGTCTATAGTCTAGTCTATAGTCTAGTCTATAGTCTAGTCTATAGTCTAGTCTATAGTCTAGTCTATAGTCTAGTCTATAGTCTAGTCTATAGTCTAGTCTATATTCTAGTCTATGTCTAGTCTATAGTCTAGTCTATAGTCTTAGTCTATAGTCTAGTCTATAGTCTAGTCTATAGTCTAGTCTATAGTCTAGTCTATAGTCTAGTCTATAGTCTAGTCTATAGTCTAGTCTATAGTCTAGTCTATAGTCTAGTCTATATATAGTCTAGTCTATAGTCTAGTCTATAGTCTAGTTCTATAGTCTAGTCTATAGTCTAGTCTATAGTCTAGTCTATAGTCTAGTCTATAGTCTAGTCTAGTCTAGTCCTATGTCTAGTCGATAGTCTAGTCTATAGTCTAGTCTATAGTCTAGTCTATAGTCTAGTCTATAGTCTAGTCTATAGTCTAGTCTATAGTCCTAGTCTATAGTCTAGTCTATAGTCTAGTCTATAGTCTATTCTATAGTCTAGTCTATAGTCTAGTCTATAGTCTAGTCTATAGTCGAGTCTAGTCTATCTATAGTCTAGTCTATAGTCTAGTCTATAGTCTAGTCTATAGTCCTAGTCTATAGTCTAGTCTATAGTCTAGTCTATAGTCTAGTCTATAGTCTAGTCTATAGTCTATCTTAGTCTATATCTAGTCTATAGTCTAGTCTATAGTCCTATAGTCTAGTCTAGTCTATAGTCTAGTCTATAGTCTAGTCTATAGTCTAGTCTATAGTCTAGTCTATAGTCTAGTCTATAGTCTAGTATAGTCTAGTATAGTCTAGACTATAGTCTAGTCTATAGTCTAGTCTATAGTCTAGTCTATAGTCTAGTCTATAGTCTAGTCTATAGTCTAGTCTATAGTCTAGTCTATAGTCTAGTCTATAGTCTAGTCCTATAGTCTAGTCTATAGTCTATAGAATAATCTATAGACTAGACCATAGTCTAGTCTACAGTTTATTCTATAGTCTAGTATATAAACTATATTAAAACTTCTGTTCACTCTTTGTATCGATCTCTGCTTTATTTAACTTACAGATCAAAGTCTTTTTTATGGCCTCAAATGAAACTCCTTTGCTAAAGTTGCCAACAAATTTCATGTTTTAGTTTAATCACAATATTTCTTGTGGCAATAGTTTTTTCTTTCTACTCCTATTTGCCTGCGCTCAAAGTGTTGAAAATTTTTATGAACTAATGAAAATTTTATGATTATTTCTACGAGATTGAACCGTCAGCTATGTGCAACAAAATGAATGAAATATGGTATTGCTGTTAAAGCTAATCAAATGAAGGTAATTTAAAACTAAATAGCCACTTAACAGAAAATAAAATTTCATTTTTATAAAAGTTTTTAATTAAAGGAAAAGTTGAAATTCCTCGGCATTATAATATTATAAATATTTTTTTTAATAAACTTTATCTTATTAAACCAAAGACAAATCTTATAACTAAAACAGTTAGCAATAAATTAATCAAAATATAAATTTCCAAACATAACGCCCGCTTAAGCCAAAAACAAAATAAGGCTCCACAATATCATTATAAAAAAAAAAACAAATTTTGCAAATAATACCTTCAATATTTCAACTTCAAACCAACAAAACAAAATTGTTTTTCTTCTTCTTCTTTTTTTCAATAGGCGGCATAAATTATTTGATTTTTGTCTGTATTCAACCTACACTTGAGTGCACATTTTAGAAACTTTTTTTTCGTAACCACACTTACCTCGGTTAAAGTTTGCTGTCTATCGCTGCTATCCCATTGATCGAATATTGAATCCAAACCCAACATAAATTCCATTGATTTTCGTGATCGTCGTCGGCTGCGCCGCTGTAATTCTTCTTCGGATGGCTTAGCATTGGCCAGCGATTCACAATAGCGTACAAAATCCAAATCGATGTGATAGCCATAAGGACAACAATTACAGCTGCGTACATTGGCATATTGTGGTAAATTACCTACAGCAAAGTTGAAGAGAAAAAAAATTAAATAATGAAACATAAATAAGAATAAGTTTTTTTATTATTTGGTTTTGTACATAAATAAGTATTTTTTTTTTCTAAAATTTATTGTGGTATTTATGTCACATTGTGGTGAAGTTATTGGATGGTAGTTTAAGTTTTATTAGAAGTTGGCAACATGTAGCAGAGTCTGTAGTCTGGCATATAGTACAGTCGATAGGAGGGACAATAAAAAGTCTGGAGAAGTCTTGACTATACTTAGTAGAGTGTACAGTCTGGACTAGACTGGACTATAGTCGAGTCTGTAGTCTAGACTATAGCCGAGTTAACAGACTGAACTATAGCCGAGTTAATAAACTGGACTATAGTCGAGTCTACAGCCTGGACTATAGTCGAGTCAATAGTCGTGATTTTAGTCGAGTCTATAGTCTGGATTATAGTCTAGTCTATAGTCTGGACTATAGTCTAGTCTACAGTCTGGACTATAGTCGAGTCTATAGTCTGGACTACAGTCAAGTCCATAGTCTGGACTACAGTCTAGTCAATAGTATGGACTATAGTCGGGTCTATAGGCTGAACTATAGTCGAGTCTATAGTCTGGATTATAGTCGAGTCTATAGTCTGGATTATAGTCGAGAATATAGTCTGGTTTATATATATAGTCTGGACTATGGTCGAGTCTATAGTCTAGACTATAGCCGAGTTAATAGGCTGGACTATAGTCGAGTCTAGAGTCTGGACTATACTCGAGTCTATAGTCTGGACTTTAGTCGAGTCAATAGTCGTGATTTTATTCGAGTCTATAGTCTGGATTGTAGTCGAGTCTGGACTATAGTCGAGTCTACAGTCTGGACTATAGTCGAGTCTATAGTCTGGACTACAATCAAGCCTATAGTCTGGACTACAGTCAAGTCATTAGTCTGGACTATAGTCGGGTCTATAGTCTGGACTATAGTCGAGTCTATAGTCTGGATTATACTCGAGTCTATAGTCTGGATTATAGTCGAGTCTATAGTCTGGACTACAGTCAAGTCATTAGTCTGGGCTATAGTCGGGTCTATAGTCTGGACTATAGTCGAGTCTAGAGTTTGGACTATAGTCAAGTCTATAGTGTGGCCTATAGTCGAGCCCATAGTCTGGACTGTAGTCGAGTTTATAATCTGGTCTATAGTGAAGGCTATAGTCTGGTCTATAGTCGAGTCTATAGTCTGGTCTATAGTCAAGTCTATAGTCTGGTCTATAGCCTGGTCTATAGTCAAGTCTATAGTCTGGTCTATAGCCTGGACTATAGTCGAGTCTATAGTCTGAACTATAGTCAAGTCTATAGTCTGAACTATAGTGGAGTCTATAATCTGAACTATAGTCGAGTCAATAGTCTGGACTAGAGTCGAGTCTATAGTCTGGATTATAATCGAGTCAATTGTCTGCACTAATTTCGAGTTGTGTACTATAAACGAGTCTTTTGTCGAGTCTGTAGTCTAGTCTAGAGTCAATTCTATAGTCTAGTCTTCAGAGTAGTCTATAGTCTAGTATACAGTCGAGCCTATATTGTGTATTATAGCCTAGTCTATAGCCGAGCCTTTAGTCTATATACTAGTCTATAGGCTGGACTGTAGTCTAGGCTACAGCCTAATCAATAGTCTGGGTCTATTTGGACTCTAGTATGGTTTATGATCTGGACTGTAGTCTTGTCCATATTCTGCACAATAATCTGGTTCATAGTAAGGAACAGGGTCCGGATTGTAGCCCTTTCTAACTATTCTATAGTTAGATTCTGTATTTTGAACCGATTTTCTTTGAATAGTAAGTAAATCTATACATAGCGGGACCTGAGAGAAGTTTTTGTTTAATTTATAAAACAGATATCTTTTATATAAACTTTTATAAAAAATTTATATACAAATTTAATATTTGTTTTAAACGATTTTTTTTTCTTTTTTATAAACAATATTATTAATAAAAATTTAATCGAATTTGTCATCATTATGTTCAAACTTATCCCCCCTATTCAAGGTCAATTATTTTCTTAAGCTTGCATTCAAGTTCAATTTCTTTTGTTTCTTTAATACAAAATTTAAATTCAAATCGACCACAATTATGTTCAAATATGGTCAATCGAGTTTTTTTTTTTATATCTTTTAACTTAAAAGCCTTTGGCTAAAACATGATCGTAGAATTATAAGTCAAACAACAAGCTCTATAAATAAAATATGTTCAAGTACTTAAGGCCACACCTGTGGTTAAAGTGTGATAAATAAAAGGTGAATAAATATAAACTTTGGCAAAAAAAATGGAAAAAACAATTTTGTTAACACGTAAATTTTTAATAAAAAAGATAAATAATAAATAATTTTTGCAATTAATAAGGGTAATCACGGACTGTGGTGCAATATAAAGGCATTCATTAGTGATCAATATATAAGCAGTTCTTAAATTCCCACTTACTGCATATTTCCGGTATTTCTCTTAACTTCCACAATTGTAAACTTTCGGGCTTAATTTTAGTTTTTTCGTTTCGAGGTTTTCTTTTCGTTTTATTAAAATACCACAAACTTATTATTATAAATAAAAATAAATTTAAAAACATTTTGTTTTAAATTTTAAAAATATTTTCAAAATGATTTATTCGATGTTCAATAACAGCACTTTCTGATTCATATTTCTGTTCTGTTTTTCTCCACACACTTTTACTTTTTCCCCATTACGTTTATCACATTAAACTGAAATTTATTTAGATTTTATTAAAATTTTTGTTCTTTTCATAATTTTATTTATTTAAATTTTTATTATCTCATTTTGTCTCATTTTGCTATAGCTTTTTTCATATTTGTTGATTGAGTAATATTTGAAAAGTGAATAAAAAAAATTCTTGTATCTCTAATCTAATTGTTTATACTACAGCTATGAAATGTTATTAAATGGTAACTGAATAAATGGAGACAATTAAAATAACTCAGTATTTCGTAAATTCAAAAAAAAAACAAATGTTTCTGATAAGGTGTTAACACTTTTATCTTAATGAGTAGGTGTTTGGTAGGCATTAATACTAGGTAGAGTTAAATTAAATAATTGAAAAAGCTTTCGAAAGTGAAAAGCTTTAAGCGTTTGAAATTTTAGGTAGTTTTACGGTATAATTGTAAAAGGGAAATTAAAATGTACCCCAGAGGAAATTTTAACATAATTTAAAAAACATACTGCCAGACAGACAATATTTCTAACCTATAACTTGCTCAAATCTATAGTCTAGTCCATAGTCTATTCTATAGCCTAGTCCAAAGTATAGTCTATAGCCTAGCCTATAGTCTAGTTTATATATTATAGTATATATTCTAGTATATATTCTTGGCTATATTCTAGTCTACAGTCTAACCTATAGTCTAGTCTATAGTTTAGCCTATAGTCTAGTCTATAGTCTAGTCTATAGACAAGTCTATAGTCTAGCCTATAGTCTAGTCTACAGACAAGTCTATAGTCTAGCCTATAGTCTAGCCTATAGTCTAGTCTATAGACAAGTCTATAGTCTAGCCTATAGTATAGTCTATAGACAAGTCTATAGTCTAGCCTATAGGCTATAGACTTGTCTATAGACTAGAAATTTTAGGCAAGTCTATAGTCTAGCCTATAGTCTAGCCAATAGTCTAGTCTATAGACAAGTCTATAGTCTAGCCTATAGTCTAGTCTATAGACAAGTCTATAGTCTAGTCTATAGTCTAGTCTACAGACAAGTCTATAGTCTAGCCTATAGTCTAGCCTATAGTCTAGCCTATAGTCTAGCCTATAGTCTAGTCTATAGTCTAGTCTTTAGTCTAGTCTATAGTCTAGTCTATAGCATAGTCAATAGTCTAGTCTATAGTGTAGTCTACAGTCTAATTTATAGTCTAGTCTATAGTCTTATCTATAGTATAGTCTATAGTCTAGTCTATAGTCTTATCTATAGTATAGTCTATAGTCTAGTCTATAGTCAAGTCTATAGTCTTATCTATAGTATAGTCTATAGTCTAGTCTATAGTCAAGTCTATAGTCTAGTCTATAGTCAAGTCTATAGTTAAGTTTATAGTCAAGTCTATAGTCTAGTCTATAGTCTAGTCTATAGTGTAGTCTATAGTGTAGTCTATAGTGTAGTCTATAGTGTAGTCAATAGTGTAGTCTATAGTGTAGTCTATAGTGTAGTCTATAGTGTAGTCTAAAGTGTAGTCTATAGTGTAGTCTATAGTGTAGTCTATAGTCTAGTCTATAGTCTAGTCTATAGTCTAGTCTATAGTCTGGTCTATAGTCTAGTCTATAGTCTGGTCTATAGTCTAGTCTATAGTGTAGTCTATAGTGTAGTCTATAGTGTAGTCTATAGAGTAGTCTATAGTGTAGTGTATAGTGTAGTCTATAGTCTAGTCTATAGTCTACTCTATAGTCTAGTCTATAGTCTAGTCTATAGTCTAGTCTATAGTCTAGTCTATAGTCTAGTCTATAGTCTAGTCTATAGTCTAGTCTATAGTCTAGTCTATATTCTAGTCTATAGTCTAGTCTATAGTCTAGTCTATAGTCTAGTCTATAGTCTCGTCTATAGTCTAGTCTATAGTCTAGTCGATAGTCTAGTCGATAGTTTAGTCTACAGTCTGTAGTCTAATCTATAGTCTACTACATAATCTAATCTATGGTCTATAATGTAGTCTATAGTCTAGTCTATAGTCTAGTCTATAGTCTAGTCTATAGTCTAGTCTATAGTCTAGTCTATAGTCTAGTCTATAGTCTAGTCTATAGTCTAGTCTATAGTCTGGTCTATAGTCTAGTCTATAGTCTAGTCTATAGTCTAGTCTATAGTCTAGTCTATAGTCTAGTCTATAGTCTAGTCTATAGTCTAGTCTATAGTCTAGTCTATAGTCTAGTCTATAGTCTAGTCTATAGTCTAGTCTATAGTCTAGTCTATAGTCTAGTCTATAGTCTAGTCTATAGTCTAGTCCATAGTCTAGTCTATTGTCTAGTCTATAGTCCATTCTATAGTC